CCCTGGAGGGGTCACAGCTGATGGGGACAAGGCTGGACACAGGGCACCCCATCTCCATTCTCCTGCCCTGTCCCAGGCCAGTGAAAAGTCACTTGCGGGTGGATGAGAAGTGAACCCCAGGAAACAGAGGAGCCACACCAGCCAAGGAGTGGCCCCTGCCTTGTCCTTAGCCACTCAGCAGGGTTGCTGCAGAAGATGGGAGGCTCTCTGTCTCCGTGCTTTCCATCACACCTGAGAGATGCAGAGCAGCTGCAGTCAATGCCAACTTTAGTCCAAAGCTTCGAGCAGCTACACGAGGAAAAAAAAGCACTGGGAAGGGGGAAATCAGGGTCTGGGGAAGGCACCCCCTAAATCACCAGAAGAACTGGGGAGGGGGGTCCAAGCTGGGCACAATCAGCATGCCCTCTGCTGGGGTTCACAAGGCAGGATGCTTGCCAGGTCAGCTCCTGCCGCAGTTTCCTTCCTGGTATGATCCACTTAGGAGTACTGCTGCTGGAGCTCAGGGACATAGCGAGCAGTTAAGCAGTAACGAAAACTTTCACCCACCATGCTTTCCTGTCCCGCGAGCAGGTTTGCAAGATCAGAAGAAGACCCCTCATTTGCTCCTTCACTCCCCACCCCCAGGTACAGCCAACCCACAAGTACAGCCCAAGAGTGGTGCCAGGGAGTGCCCTGGCACTGTTTGTGGAGGGGAGCCAGCATTCACCACTACACCCAGCCTGTGTGAGAGTTAGCACTGGAGAACCAGAGCAGAGCATTCCAGGGTACCAGTGGACCAGGGAAACTGTCTGTCACCCCCTCACCCAGTACATGCCCTGATCCCAGGGGCTGGGCAGGCTGCAGCATCCTTCAGGTGGGTGTGTGCAGGCATGGGCAGAGGCTGGGCAGGGTTGGGGGACCCTTCACACAAACATCACCCTGGGAACCCAGGGAGCACCTAGCCAAACAGTCCTGACCTCCCTCCCACTATGCATAGAATCCCCCGAGTGGATCCAGATTCCAACAAGTGCATCCTGTGCACACTGCTCAGCACCTTGTACTGCCCATCCCCAGCTGGACAGCCCCCTCTGTGTCCCTCCATCCTGCCCAAGGGCCACAGGGGGCCCTGGGGAGAGCCAGGAGCAGGGAGCCCAGCAGATACCCATCCTTCCTGAGCCTGGCTGCTCTGCAAGCTGGTGCTAAGTCTGACACCTCACGCACAGAGTGAGGTGACCATGGTCTCTGGCAACATCTGGATCCTGTAGAGGTGCTGGAAAACACCCTCGTGCCCAAATGCACACTTACACACAGTCTCAGCCCACAACACCCCAGCATACATCAGTCACCACCATACAGCAGACACCCTGCCAGCCTTGTCCCCTCCCCACATCCTCAGCCACTGGGACAGGCAGGACACCCCACTCCTTGCATCCTATGCCTCTACAAGCAGCAGACGAACACCACGTCGCAGGACTCTCTCACTCTCTCATGGATGCAGCACTCTTGGAGCATCCTTAGAGGCAGCTCTGGACACCCATTGCCTGCCTCTCGTGTTCCTGGAGGCACCAGCACCACCCACACCCGTTACCTTCCAAGGACACAGGCTCGAAGAGGCCAAATTGCTCCAGCACCTTGACGAAGAGGACCAACACCACCAGCACCGCGATCATCTCAAGGCCTTCCAGGTTCATGGTGGGAGTGTCACATGGCCCCTCACTCCCCCGCCCTCTCCACCACAGTCCTGGAGCCCCGTCACCCCAGCACCATAGCCACCAGGCCACACATCCCCAGGGACACCTGCCCCTGTCCCTGGTGGGGGATCAGCTGTCACCCCTCTACTCGGGGGCACCCGCCATCGGCTGTGGGCAAGCAGCGGGTCAGCGTGAGGCTGTGGCGGGCGGCTCAAGGAGCCACGGCCGAGAGCCCAGGCAAAGCAGGGTTGTGCCTGCGAGTAAGGGTGGAGAGAGGCCAAGTGGAGGGAGGCGTGCGGGGGGGGTGGCAAGGATGGGGGGGTTGAGGGGGGAAGGAGGCATGCCCTCCCATTCCAATGACACCACCTCCATCGATTTGCTTAATGCAGTTGCTAAGGAAACGGGCCACAGATATTAAAAGGCACTTGGTTCCCAGGGGGGGACATGGGGAGGGGCAGGACAATGGGCACTGGCTAAACATCCAGGATGGAAATGACTCAGATTTGTCCTCTGTGCCCCAGACACGTCTGCCCCGTGGGGATCAACATGGCTGAGCATCATGGGAGGATGTGGGGCAACAATTCTCTCTGCCCCATTTCCAAGCAGGCAGATGGGTCCAGCTGTTTTGCTGGGAGCACCAAGGGGAGATGGGAAGCAGGGCTGTGAGAACGAGTGGGAGCAGAGGCTGTGATGCAGAATGCCCAAGACACTACCAGACCCACAGGCAGTGCAGTAATGAGCAGAAGAGGAGTAGATTCAAGGGCTGGGGATGCAATGGGACTAAGGGACCCAGCCAAGGTCGCAGAGCAGCTGGAAACAGAGGGTGAACCCAGACATCAGTGTGCCTCGAGCACACATTCACACACAGCCAACAGAGTTAAATTTAGTTCCTCTGCTTTTTTAACACAATTCCAGCTCTTGCCTGGCTACTCAATTACAAGCCACAGGGACCACTGGGGAGCCAGGTGTCCGCTGGTCCCTGCCTATCACCAGGGCTCAGAACCCTTGGGGTGCACAGCTTCCCGCAGGGACACCACTGGCACTGCCCATCTCCAGGTGGACAATTCCCACATGGTGCACAAAACAAGATCAGTTTTAACTCCAGCACCAGTGTGGCAGGCAGGGAGCAGGGCTGCCCCCATGCTACCACTGCTCCCCACCCTGCACAGTTCCCCCCAGGTACAAGGCCGGCTGCCCCAGGCAGAGGTGGGGTGGCCTTGCCCAGGCTATGGGGCACACCCCTTGCCCAGCTCTAAGGCCCTACTGCCTCCACATAGGGCCCTGCAAACAGGACTGCAGCAGAAATCCCCTTTTCTCCCTGTTGTCTTTGTACTGGGTGGGAAATATATCACCAGGGGAAGAAACGTCACCCTGGGACACCGGCGGAGAGAAGGGGATGGCAGAGGTGTTGGCTGTTACTGACAAGAGCTCCCAGCAGGGCTGTCCCACACCAATCCCCCAAGAACCCCCATTTCCAGCCCAGAAAGCTGCAGACTTGTCCCTTGGCATGGGACAGAGAGGGCTGGTGCCTCAGTCCCAGGTCACGGCACGGCCAGGCTATCTAGTGGCTCCGTGCCACGAGGCTCAGCATCTCCTGCCCATGTGGGATGTGCTCCCAAGGCTCTAACGCCAGCAGAAGATGCCAGTGATGCATCAGAGGCGTCTTGAGGAGAAAGCTGAAAGTTTTCCCTGGGGAAACATCCCTCAGGCTGGAATTTTTCAGACCTGACATTTCCTTTTCTTGGAAAGAGGCAAGTTTCCAGGCACTGAGCCTGAATTTCATGTGGCTGCCTCCCAGTTTTGCCCCAAGTCAGTCCCTCCAGGCCAGGGTGGCACAGACCTGTTGCACTCTCAGAGGAAGTTTCCCACTGACGCCAACTGCATTTTTAAAGCCATTTTTCTTGCTAAACCCCAGTTACACCCCATTATCTCCTCAAACCTCCAGCTGCTCCCAGTGCCAATGCCTGTCCTGCACACTGTGGGTCTCTTTTTGCAACCTAGTTTAGGCCAGACACAGAGTGAGAGGAGCCCTTCCAGCCTGAGACAGGGCTTGTCCCAGCAAAGAGGGTTTGGGGCAGTTCCTCTGTAAAGCAAACCTGCTGAGCCCCTGAATGGACCGTCATTGGTAACAGGTAACAGCTTCCCCTCCTGCCCTTGTGCCTGTCCCATGCCAGCCATCCTCCACAGCAGAGCAGTGATAAATCTCCGACTCACCACGTCAGGATTCCACATTTCCATGCTGGAGCCATTGATAAAAACCCTCCACTGTTTGCTGCCAGCATGACTGCAAGATCCCACCAGGACTGCCACAGGCACCTGGTGCTGGTCCCATGTCCCAGTGCCACACACCACGTCAGAGCCCAGCTCCCAACACCCCCAAACTCTCCAGGATTTCTTGCCCAGAACACGTTCCCTCCAACTGAGGGCAGATCCAGATGGGCTGGGTTCCCAAGGATGCTACTCTGTCTGGAGCTGCCCCCCGCATGGAGGAGACACATGGGACAACATGTAGGACTTCACCAATGGAGCCAGACCCTCGGCTGCCTGCAAAGGGATGTTTGAAAGCATACACACCCCACCAGAAGTGGGACAGGGATTTTCCCCCCATCCCACCAAGAGGCATCACTCCCAGAGATGTTTCCTTGCCCCTGCAGCCAGCCAGCATTTGGCCATGCCATAGGAAGAACCTTAAGGCCATGGCTGAGTTTTGCAGAGAGAGGTCACACGGATGGATGGAGCAATGCACACCCCAGGCAAGAGAGGCTCTGCACGTCCTCAGACACACGATGCCAGTGCCACCCCTCCTGCCCTGCTCCTTGCCCTGGGGTCTCACCTTGCAAAATCTCTGACACTCACATCCTACTGCAGCAGGGCTTGGAGAGACCCTTCACCAGGAAAACTGGGACCCCTACCACATCCCAGAGCTCCCAAACACACCAGCTAAGGACCAAAGATGTAGGTCATCCCCAAAGGGACCCAGAGCCCCAAAATGCAGGTTGAGGCCCTGGCATCAGCACTGGGCACCCTACAAGAGCAGGAGGCTCCAGGGAGTCCATCTGTGTCCCCATCTTGCAGGGAGGGGTAGCAGTACCTGGACACCAGCAGCATGGTGGACCCTGAAACAGCCCTGCCACCAGTGGAGCAGGACCAGGGCCAGGAGGAACAAATTAAGAGACTGAGGAGGAGATGGAGGTGCCCCAGAGAGGCAGAGAGAGGGTCCCCAATCCACCTCTCCCACACCAAGCATCTGGCTTGCCTCAGTACTTGGTTTGTGGAAGCAGATGGGATGGGCCAGCGTCACCCTGTCCCCCAAAGTCCCCAACCCCGTACCTTCAATGCCGCTGATGATTTTGAAGCAGCGAGTGGTGAACCAATAGGAGATGAGGAGGAGGATGGCAATCAGGGAGGCATAGAGCAGGCTGTCGTTGTGCAGGGATGTCTTCTCCATGGCTCCATCCCCTGTGCCCACTTGTGCCCCCCGCCCAGCCCCACTGTGCTATCTGGGGCAGCTCTGTCCCGACAGTCCCCCTGCCAGAGGAGCCGGCCACGGCGGGCAGGGAGGCGGGGGGCTGCACGGGCAGGCAGGCAGGTAATTGGGAGCGTTGTGTGAGAGCCAGGCTCCCAAACCAATTACCTTAATTGTGCTCAGGCAGCACATGGCAAACAGTTAAAAATAACCCTCCTGGCCCGGGGGGAGAGTGGCACCATCAGCCAGGAGAAGGAAGCAGGGGGCAGAGAACAGACAGGGCTCATTACCCATGTGGGTGCAAGTCAGTGCCACGGGGCAAGCAAGGCATCACCACAGCTCAAGGGCTATTCCAAGTTCCCTGCTGACCTTGGGATCCTCAGGGCTCGACTCCTTGTTGCCACCCCACAGGAGGAGCTGGGAGTTCTGGAAACAGGGCTCCCTAGGGAATGATGCTGCAGCCTAGGATCAGTGAACACCAGCATCTCTGCTGAGATGCTTGTGTCCGCCCTTGCTCCAGACATGGGACCTTGAAGGAAGGTGTCTCTGCAGTTCTGTCATCCCAGAGAGCTGGGTCTGGCAGAGAGGCTTTGGTATCTTGTCCCCTGTGTACCAGCACAGCACCTCCCCAGGGATGTCTGGGGTCATCATCTGCTTTTCTCAGCCTGGAGTCAGAGCCAACTAGCCTGTTTCCCACTCTGTGATGCTGGGTGCACTTGGACAGTGCCACCATGGGCCTGGGCACACTCACAGATCCAAAACCATGTGGGATTAGCTGTACCCATGCCTGAGACACCTCTGGTCCTGGGACTGCGCTTGGCCCCATCAGCTGCCCCATGGGATACAGATACATGGCTGAGAAAGACAGACCCAAGTGTTTCACCCCAAAATCTCTTTGCATACAAGATGTTCCATACCCACCCTACAGCTACAGCCAAGGGATGTGGCCACCCAGGTGTGGGATCAGGAGTACAGAATTTCTCCAGCTGTGCCTGTTTCAGAGAGCAGAATCCAAGCATCCAGATCCGCCACTCCCTCCCTTCTCTCTTCCCCAAGACCAACTGCTCTGAGCATCCACAGGTGACAGTGGACAGGCTGGCAAAGTGGTTCTGGCATATGCCCATGGTTCAGCCCTGGGGAGGATGGCAGGCCCTGTAGCACTTCCCCAGGCACGGCTATGCCAGGACAGGCAGCACAGGCTGGCACCAAGTGCCTCCCGTCCCACTTCGGGCTGTGATAATAACAGCCATGAAGCATCCCCCCTCCAGCCACCCCCACCCTGGCTGTCTGGTGTTGCTGGCACTGCAGCCCTGCCACCCAGCTAAATTTAACCACCCTAACAGCCACCCGCTGTGTGTAGATAGAAGTGCCTGGGAGTGGGGTTTCTTGCCCAGAAAGCAGCTCCGTGCACACAGCATGTCACAAGCACACATGGGGCAACACCCAGAGCCATCAGGTAGCCAGGTGGCTGGTCCCCATCTCCATCCTCCCAGCACCACCAGCAGCGGGGAATAGGGAACTGTGCCTTGCTGCAGAATGGGAGCAGATGGGGGACAGAACAGAGGAATCATCCATCATCAAGGGACCTGTCTCTTCAGGAGGGGACCATGCACCTTGAGCATGGCCAGGCTCAGCCCTGCTTGAGAGTCATGCCTGTGATTACCTCTAAAATGCTCTTCACCCTGTGCTGCAGGGTGTTAGGGCACTACCTCCACAAAATGTGTCATAGGACTTGCTGGACCAGAGTGAGGTGATAATCCCCAGGCACAGCTGGGCAGCAGCTGCTCAGGTACCTTGAGTGATGCTGACCCACTGGGGGGCCAGCCTGATGGATAGGAGTTTCTCCTTTTTTTTTGTTCTCGGGGCCATCATCCATTAGGGAGAGTTAAATTTAGGTTAAAGCTGATCCCTTATTACCTTGCTGCTAATCAGAGCGCGAGCAGATTATTAATAAGCACATTAAAATATTGGTGAAATGCTATTTTTGGGAGGTGAAGTCACAGTTTTAATCTGGTTAATTGATTGAGTCATTTCTCTTTCTCCTCTCTGGCGACCCGTCCTTGGTTAGCTCCCTAGGGCACCCAGCTGGGGGCCCCCCACCCCGGGGCACGTCTGGTTGGGCACCCAGTGCCTTCTGTAGAGAGCTCCATGGGACCTCCTTCACCTATGCAGGGAGAACAGAGGGGCTCATTGCCCCCCAAAAGGGGACCATAGGGTAAGATAGCAGTTGGACAGGGGGCAACATCCTGGTCACCCATGGACCAGAGCAGCGGCTGGGGAAGAGTGGATGCTGTGGAGTGGAGAAGGTTCTGCAAGCCCCGTATCCCACTCCCAACCCTGAGTTAGAGGGACATAGAGCTGCCTGGCTTTGGGTTTTACCCAACCTTGGCTTGTCCGAGAATTTGGGAGGACATTGAGAAGAGGGTTCACAGTGCTAGTCAGTGCCCCATGGCCAGCCATGCCCTCTGTGCCCATCCCAGCCCCGTGCATACCCAGCAGGGCTGTAGGGACAGCCCTTGGTGCTGCTCAGTACCACGCATGCCCAGTCCAGAGACCCAGTCGTGGGGGACACCCCCTACAGCCTCAGTGCCACTGTGCCCAGCTGCAAAGCCCAGGACACTGGGATAAAGATCTGCAGGATGTCCTTGCAGGTGGTGGGGGTGGAAGCGTACCAAAGTCCCATCCCCACTTCGCTCCATCACCTGCAGCTCAGCCCCTCATGCCCAGGGCAGAACTCAGCTGACTCATCCACTTCCCCCTTCACTCCGGACTAGTTGGCTGGTGCCCGGTGGAGCCAACAAGCAGGGATGGACCTGGCACTGCCTGCGGCACACCCAGCCTCCAGAGCCTGGCACACTGCTGGGTCTGGAGGACTGTCCCCTGATGCAGGGGGACCCTCCATCCCAGGGCTCAGGTCCCTGTGGGCAGGAAGGTAGCATGCCAGCTGGGCATGGCTCACAGCGTGGATACTGCTCCCATGTCCCAACCCCCAGTGCTGTACCAAGTGCATCTCCATGCTATCCCCGCCTTTCCCTGGCCCCAGGGATGGGCAAAGGCTGGGGAGACACAGGGGTTTCCCGAGGCGAGGAGGGGCCAGAACTTGCAAGGGGTTTTCAGGCAGGTTGGGTCCTGGCAAAGGCAGTGCAAGTCCCAGCCCTGCTCCAAGGCGTGACACTGCCAATAAGGCCTTCCCCACACTCATGGGAGGAAGTGCATCCCCCCCCAGCACTGCTGTTGCTCAGAGGGGCAGCCCAGTGGTCCTCAGCAGGGCAAGGCCATGGGGGTGGCAGCTTGCCCCCTGCACAGGGGCACAGGGACAGGGGCAGGAGTGGCACAACAGGAGTCCCAGCACACACAGGCACACAATGACCTCCCCAAGATGTGCCCATTGGGTTTAGGAGGTGGTTCTGGGCTCACACTCAGAAGAGAGGGTCCTGTCCAACTGGCTGGTCTGTGCAGGGGCTGGCATGGGGATGAGGGTCCTGCCACGGCTGTGACAGCAAACCAGGAGCACACAGCATGCAGCTCTGTCCCCAGGACCAAGCATCACAGGACACTAACAGATGCAGGCATCAGGGTGTGTCCCTGCCTTGGCTTGTGGGGCACACCCAGGGCTTTCCTGGCCAGATGGATGGAGGGCACAGCTGTGGCCCCAGAGGAGTCATATTCCTTGATACGGCAGGGAAGAGTCCGACCAGCTGCCATTTATGTGCACAGCAGTTCTTTCACGCTCCACTCTGCACCAGTCCCCTCCCCAAATAAAACATTCCCATTACCCCAAGTCCACAGGGGGCCTTTAGGGGCTCTCATTGCCTCCTGGAACGATCTTCAGCTTTGCTCCACACGGAGCTCAGTGTAACCCCTCTGCCAGGAACTGAAACGTTCAGCACCTAAACAGGATTTCCCCCCTCCCCAAATAACCTCGCAGAACTCATCAGACAGAAACCCCTCCCTCAGAACAGAGACCCCGTGTCCTCCAGGGCGGCACCTACCTTGGGAGAGAGTGCCGGTGACAAACTGATAGAAGAAGCGGATCACCCGGCCCAGCTGCCTCTTGCAGCGCTGCTGGCAGTGGCTCATGGTTCCAGCTCCCAGCGCTGGGGAGGGACCCAGCCGCACCCCCTCCCGGCCTCCAAACAGACCCCTTTCTCCTCCGAGCAGCGGGCGATGCCCGGGGGAGGACAGAGCCTTCCTGCCCGGAGCGAGCCCGCTGGCATGGGCGGCCGGTGCAGCCCGGCGGGGCGGGCAGCGACAGCGCCCGGCAGCGCGGCAGCCGCCGGCCCCGAAACCCGGCGGCGGGCAGCGGCAACTTTTGCGCGGGGATGCTCTGGTTCAGGGGGACGGCGGGACAGAGAGGCTGGCGGTGATACCCCTCCCGGGGCTCGGGCTCACGAAAGCTGACCGCCGAGAGGGAGCGAGGTGCCCGGGCGAGTTCCCCCGTGCCGTGCCCGCCGCCGGCCCCCTCCGTGCCACGAAGTTGTGGGGAGAGGTGGGGAGCAGAGTCAGGGTGATGCGGGGAGCCGGGGAGCCCGGCAGTGCCAGCCAGCTCTCCGGCAGAGGCAGATGGACGCTTCCCTGGTTGGCAGAGCCTCGGGTTGCCCCTGGCTCCCGGTCCGCCCCTTGGCACCAGACCGACCCGGCACTTCACGCCCCGGCTGGCTGGGAACCAGAGGAAGGTTGATATGGCAACCGGCAGACTCCACAGGTCCCGCTGACCAATAGGGCCCTGCTGCATCCCAGAGCCACCTCTCTCCAAGGGATGCTCCTTCCGGAGGGGAGCCGGCACCGAGAGCATCCTGCATCCTTGAGCATCAGCCATCCGTTCCCACTAAGTGCTGTGAGCATCCTGTATCCTCTGACATCAACTATCTTCTCCAGCCAGCTGGTGCTGCAAGTATCCTGCATCCCCACATATCAACCATCCGGTGCTGCAAATGTCCTGCATCCCTGTTGCCACAGCAATCCAGCACTGCAAGCATCCTGCATCCCTGGGCATCAGCCCCCCAGCACTGCAAGTGTTCTGCATCTCCAGGCATCCACTTTTGCTGTCTCCACACAGGGGAGGAGACAAGGATGGGTGCCAGAATGGGAGGAAAAGAAGTCAAACTCCAAGACCACCCAGGCTAAGAGCTGCTCGCTCCAAAGCTCAGCCTGGCAGCGAATTACTATCTTGCACAGTAATCAGAGCCAGAAGGGAGTCTGACATGTGGTGGCAATGGGATTTCCCTGCTCCCAGAGCCAGCCTGAGATGCTCTGTGCAGACTCAAGACAACATCTCTTCCTCAAGTTCCTTTTTCCCAGCTGTAGTTCCATCTCTACACTGCATTCAC